ATTCGTGGTTTTCTGTCCCGTCTACAGCCACCAGTTTCTTAGAGCTTAAGCTCTACTAAAAACACCCATGATTGATTTCATGGTCGTTAATCATGATCGTGCTACGCTAAGTCGGGTGGCATGCGAGTCGGCTTGCATTCTGCTCTTGGTGGCGAGCGTCGCAGCGACGTCAAGGGATGACTCTATGTAAGCCGGCGTGATTTTGGGTGCCAGAAAAAGATCAGCACACCCTTCCAAAAGGCGCATGGAGGACCGAGATATCCTTTTCTGTACAAGCCGGCGTGATTTTTGGCGCCAGAAAAGATCAGCCTAACCTTCGAAAAGGCGCATGGAGGACCGAGGTGCCCTCTTTTCAAATGCTCTGCTTGAATGTCGTTATCATTGCGTATATCGCAAAATACGAACAATGAAGGTGGCTTCTGTCGTATACTTAATTAGACATGGCGGAACATGGCATACATTAAACAGGATAAATAGCATCCACAAATTTGTATCATTACTTGGCGTGCTGTCATGGTGTTTTAACAAAGCTTCCATTTCCGCAACACCCCCCCCCCCCCCCCCCCGCCGCCCAAGCACCAGTTGCACCTGTGGCTAGACTTGGTCATTTTGTTCATTAGCCGTGCCGCCATCTGAATGGCTGTCTTTTTCTGGTTGATGGCGATCGGTCGCCTTACGATGACATCCGGCTGGTCCGGTCGCGCCTTGTTCCGCTTCGTGGCACACCATTCCGCCGGGGGGGGCGATGGGCCTGACACGCTCCGGGCCGGCCGGGCGGCCATCGATCGTCCGAGTCCGTGTGCGGGCCGACTGCGGAAGGTGACGCCTCCGCAGCACCGCGTCCGGAATGACCCCGAAATGGCCCACGGACGGCCACATCCGCTGCCGGCCGACCCATTCCTTGGCGATAGGAGGCACTGTGTCTCATGCCGGCTGCCAGGCAGAGCGTGAGCGTGACGCAGTCCATGGACACACTGCTGTAGGGGAGAGCCGTCCAGCCCAAGCCGACGCTGTCGGCAGCCAGCTACGTACTAAGATGTGTGTACGTCCGAGGATACTTGCCGGGTGGCTCTCAAGGTATGTATAGCTTTTGCTCACAACTAAGGCCTGGATAAACACGACCACCACCTCCAAGCATAGCGAGTGCGCAATGGTCGTTGAATGTAGTTGGCTATAGTTTGGCATCAGTTCCATGCAAAAATGAGATACGGATGAAAATTTCTCTCATGCCATTCACGGCACCACGTGAGATGCGCCGTTTTCAATAAATTAGGTACTTTCTGTTCGTCTGATTTGCTAGGGAAAAAGCGGCAGCCTGAAGTCATACGTGAAATGTGGCCAAGCACCCGAGGTCAGGCCTGCCGATGAGTTGCTTCAGTTGCATGCCAGACTGAAACCGGTCTGGGGAAGAACGACATTTGAAAACTGATATATTTATTACTTCCTCTTTTCATATTAATATTCTCTAAATGCATATCCCTTGCGCATTGCATGGACACATCAGCTCATCGCGGAGTGCATTTTCACAATGCGTTCCAAAGCAGTCCACCGTTTTGAGTAAAATCCACTCGCAAATCATACTTCATGCAGTCGTTACTTCTTGCAACTTATGCTTCGTGTAATCTCAAATGTTTCCATCAATACGATGGGCGCATGTAATTAATATCCCTGAACCCACCAAAAGGAACGTCGAAAACAAATGTATGGCATATGTGTGCACACTATCGTCTCCCGAAAAGTATTTGAAATGTAGCCGTCGGCCTATAACTGACTCGCCAATTTATGTGCTGGTGATCAACAAGTGAGTTGGTCAGTTATTAGTGTTTAATCCAGCCAAACCCGTGTTTTGGGAAAGGTCAACGCCTCAGATTCATTGAAACCATGGATTGTTCCACACGTCTCGTGTTAATTCGATCCATAAATAAGCTTGGTAGACGAGCACCGCCACCAATCACACATGAACCTACATTAGCGTACAGATACAAGTACACTTGATAGCTGGAGCTAAGCTTCTTTTGTAAACAAGATCATGTTGTCCATTCGATTCATTGCGAGCACTTTGATTCGTGGATTTCTGGGATTAGCACCCACATAAGCGACGCTTGTTATGCGTGCCGTAACCCCATCACCCGATCGTTCAATTTCCAGGTGAACAGCAGAATTTGGCGGTGGAAGTTCACCGTGCTGTAATGATCGGCGCGGACCTCTCTGCCGTCCGACGTTACTTGACATTTGACGCGGCCGGTACCATAGACCGTGGCCCAGCCCAGTCTGGGTCGAATAACGAGGGCCTCGGCGGCTTGAACCCACCGCGCCAGTACCGAGTGGATAAGCGCTCTAACCAATTGAGCCACCGACTGCGGGGGCATGGCCTCATGCTTAATTTTTAACGGGAAATATTTTTAGAATAAACTTGAAGAAATATTGGACACGAAAATAACCCTACAACAGAATTGGAAAACAGTCCAGATTCGTGAGATATGCCAGCTTTTCGCATAATTAATTATGCTTGACCTTTGAAATAAAATGTTTTCGGTAAGTTATATAACATATTCGTAGCCCCAAAAAGTATGTCGACAAACGCTTCAAATAGATCTTTGATCTTGAAACATCGTTTAAAAATACTCAAAATATCGTGCCGCAGAATTTTAAATTGTACGATGGATCTCGGAAGATGTAGGGCCGTGCTTAAAGAGCAATACAAATATTTGCTCGATATTTCATCAAAGTTTGGATGGGTGCCTCTGCTGTAAATGACGCAGTTGATCTTGGCAACGACTGATGAATGGCGCAATATCGTGGACGGGCAGCCGCTTGAGGGACGGATGATCACGATGGCTTGGAGCCATCTGTGACACACAGCCGATGTCGTGACTTCGCGTACAACGTTTTTGACTTGGGAAGTAAAATGCTAGGAGAGTAAAACTCGAACCCCGTCAGCTACATCGTATGAGAAACCGAGGATCGTACCCGGGTTTCGGGCAGCTTTCAAAACGCCGTTCTTAGGGACGTACCGTAGTTTTTCGGATCTTAAGTGTGCGTTAACTTCACCAGTTTCGACGTTACCACCACATTCAACACAGTACGAATTATCTGCCAATTCATGCCTGATGTGCTGCAGCAAGTGACAATACATGCTATCCGCGCCGGCACTTGACCTGTGAGACTAGTCAAAACAGGGCAAAATGGCGGTCTTGTCAGATCTGGGTCATTGGACAAAACTGTGTGTGAGAGTGTGCAAGAACATGACACGCACGATATACTTCCGAGCGTCAAATTAGGGGCACCAAGCGTTACCCCTTAACGTGTGATGAGGTGGACCGGCGATGGCTGAGTCTGCAGCATGCATGAGTATCAATAGCGTTGGTACACAAGGCTCCATTTAACATTATTTTGGGCAGTTCCGAACTGGCCTGCCGCGACTGCGAATGCCACGAATGGCCCGTTAGTATCGCAACATCAGAGCCGACATCCATATGTCGTTGGGGCGTGGGTCGTATGCATACCGGAAGCTGGTTTGTTGATTTTTACGATTTGGTCTGATGCAACCTTGAGATCTGGTGAATTTTAGAGGCGACACGTGGCGGGATCATTGCGCGTTGTACCTTTGAAAACCTGTGCATAAATACCGAAAAATTGCAGAAACATATTCGTATAACGATTTGTGGAATTTGAGGGCAATAGTATGGTTCGACTGACCCTAATATGATAAAAAATTGAAGTTTCTGGGTCCGACGTGACAAAGTTGTAACCTCAGCTGGCCAGAATCTCGCATTATTTGCTAATTATCTGAAAACGAGGCACATGATTGGGTTGTAGTCAGCATGATTCATATTGGAGAAAAGATGTGAAGAAGCAAACATGTTCTTTTTCGCCCGATATTTCATTTACCGCTATTGTATCTCAAACCTCATTATCCGGTAACATAGCTGGGGTAGCCGGTGAATATTCGATAACGGCATCAGTGCAACGTTGAATCCAACCTGACGTGCTAACCATAAGAGGTACTGCGGATAACCTCGATAAATGTTGTTAAGAGGGGTTGAAAATTCATATAAATGGCCGTCTCTCGAGTTCTTCAGCTTCCTCTGACACATGAAATGACCTCACCAACGTTGACAGGGCTAACATATACATAAATCACTTCACCAATGTTGACGGGGCTGCCATATGCGTGCAGCCATATGCTAAAGGGCACAGATTACGCTACATATTTCCCAGATGCGTCACGCCACACCCCCGTCGGCGTACGTCACGGCAGACGGTCTGCTTCGAGCCGACCAGCAACCCCCGGGTGGCGGGTCTGGGGCGTGGCTCGGCTCCTGGCTGGCGCGCGCTGCCTCGGCCTGGCTGGGGCCGGGTCAGTATGTGGGCAGGCTGCAAACGGCCGGCCGCTCTTGACGGGGCTGAGAGATGGCCAGGCTGCGAACCGCCGGGCTCGGCCGCTCGCCGCTCTGGACCGGGCCGAGATGGCTAGGCAGTAGCCGCCGAGCTCAGCCGATCTGGACGGGGCCGAGGATGGGGGGTGGGAAGCTGCAACCGCCAGCCGCTAGGCTCGGCACATCGGCATCTCGATGGACATCCGGCTGACACTGTGACTGGAGCTGTGGTTCATGTTCATGTGGGATTGGGGGCGCAGTAAAATTCGCCGCGATTAAGTCGCCACCACATTATTGGCTTTTGTTGGTTGACAATCTGAACTGGAAACGACTTAGGGGTATATTCGTTGAATCTTACGTCAGACGCAATGCATTGAAATTTCCGCCACCAACAGTGCGTTAGTGTGAAATCCCGCGAGCACTATAACATTGAAACGACCCGGTCGCTTTTCTGCTACCTTTCCAAATATACTTCCCTGGGCTGAAGAGGAACGATCAACCGCACTGGAGCCGAAAGACTCGACCTAGTTGCTGACTGCACCGCTATAAGGTGTTCGCGTCCGCGCACGCATGCATGTTAAATGTTGGAAATGACCCGACGAATGCTTCCTCATTCTGCAGTATCCTATATGAAGGCGCTGGACATCTGGATGGGCGTCTGCACCGCCTTTATCTTCACGGCGCTGCTGGAGTTCACGCTGGTGAACCAGCTGTCTCGTCCGCGGCGTCGCATGGTATGCTGGGTGATGCACGTCAAGAAGGGCATACCGGAGCGGCTGCTACACACGCCCGACCTCTGCGAGGACTGGTGCATTGTTAGGCAGCAGCTGAAGAAGGTGCGTATTGGTCTCACTAAGTCAACCGTCAAAGGCTTTTCGGACTTAGTAAAATAATGAACACTGCTAAGTCACACTTTGACGAATAAAAAATATGTGCCCGATTGATCCCCCTTCTGACAGGCGAGCACAATGTTGTTGTCCATAACCGTTCCCGATGTGAAAATGCAACACAATAATAACACAATTAATAAAATAAATATCCGAAGGCAACACACTGAGGCTCATGCGTTAGCTCGGCAGAAGTGTCCACACCGTTTCCCGGTGGATGCCACGAGCCGTCTGCCGACAGAAGCGGGACGACCCGCCGGGCTGCGCGCTCGAGCTGGTGGAGGGTGCAGCATCCGGCGTCCGGCCGCCGGCCGAGCTGGCGCCGGTCCGCCGCTGCTACTGCCAGCGACGGATGTCGGCCGCCGGTTGCCTGGACAAGCTCAGCAGGCTCGGATTCCCGCTCGCCTTCTGCGCGTTCGGACTGTTCTACTGGATCCACTACAACAAGTAGAGATGTACCGCAGCGTCCGTTTGGCCTGTTCCACTGGGCCCACTACAGCAAGCTGAGGTGGAGCAGGGCGTCCGTTCGGCCTCTTTTTCCGTGCCCACCCCGGTCGTTCAGCCTCTTCTATCGGATTCGTCACAAGGCGACATGGACCACGGCGTCCGTTCAACTCCCTGCCGGGTTCGCCACAGCAGGCAGAGTCCGATGCAGCGTTCGGTTCCTTCTTCCTGACCAACTACAACGAACTGAGGTGGATCATAGGCGCCTTTCCATCTCGTGTACTACAACCGTGCAGCCTCTCCTACAGTTACGTCCACTCAGGGGCGGACACACGAAGTGGCCTCCGTGGGTTCGTGCTTCCCTCTCTACCTTTTCTACCTACTTTAGGTGTGTGTGGGTGTGGGTGTGGGTGTGGGTGTGGGTGTGAGTGTGAGTGTGGGTGTTGTGTGTGGGTGTGGGTGTGGGTGTGGGTGTGTGTGTGTGTGGGTGTGGGTGTGTGTGAGTGAGTGTGATTGCGTTTGCGTGTAGGCGCGCGTGCGTGTGTGCGTGCGCGCGTGTGCGTGTGCGTGTGTGTGTGTGTGCGCGTGTGCGTGTGCGCGCGCGTTTGTCTGTGTGTGTGCGCGTGACTTACTTCACAACACTAACCAAATCGGGGTAGACACGTACAAATAAGCAGGTGAAGAACTCGTGATATTGATTTATACTATGTAGCAAATTTGGCGCGTCTGCGGCGTCTAAGCTTGGTTTTCAGCAACTTTGAATTGTGTCCTTCCGTCGCAAAAGTCAGCGTGCGCCCCTGGGCTCTTACAATATGTAGAGGTAGATAATGTTGTTCGGCCACTTCAATTAGGCTCACCACGACAAACAGAGGTGGACCAAAACATGGATCTCTTCCACTGGATTTGAACAACAAAAAGATGACGGCATCTGTTTGGATTAGAGACGCAACTGTTTCCAAAATGCCAGCCGGCTGCCCAACCTGCCCCGCCAGCTGGACTCTAGACCCCAAATCATGCTGCGTTACGATGCCGATCCACCAATAGCCTGCGGATATTGATTTAAATCGAACCAGTAAGTTAAAATATTTGTCTGAGCTTCGAGCCAATTCATAAAATATGCTGAAATATGTGATCAATGTCATCACATGCACACCATAATTTGCGCCTTACCAGCAGTAGGGTCGGAAAAGCAGTAAGTCGAAATGTCTGAGCTAAACCATTTTTTAGTTCCCCATTGCACTGAAAAAATAATGACGCCAGCCTCAAACTTGAAGCGAGAAGAAAGCACAAGATACTGGAGTTTAAATCCTTACCAATACGCACCAGAAGTACGCACGGTTCCCCAGCTTTTGACACGGCTGGCTATCGCTGTGCAGTAACCTGAAATAACGCCTTTTAAAGCTGTGTGACGCCTTCTACAGTTGATGGCATCGATTGATGGGCTTCATGGAGGACGAGTGCGGAATTGTTAGATGTTTGCAATACGTTGCCACTCTCGTCATTCCACAAGACTGCGTGCTTACACAAAATAATATCTAGTTTCAGGGAGGCGGAACCATTTTTACACGTAACTTTACCGCAAGTATAAGGCATTTTCAGTCCGGTTACCAACGAACAGGAAAATGGGTCGAAATAGCCGGAGCGGCGCAGCTGAACTCCCGAAATAAATTCAGCTTTATAACTTTTTCCGCTGTTTTAGATTGGACATATCACAAAACAGCATTCAAAACGCATGGTATGACAGCTTTCCAACGGTCAACAGTTTCCTCCATCGCTACAAGTTTTGGTACCAATGACAGCGTGCCACACACCAATGGCTCACTGGTATAATGCGCTAAACACGAATGAATGCTGCTCGTCCAAAAATTATGTTTTTTCCATCCATGTGACGTAAAAATTTTGTACAAGGCCTCACGAACCCATATGTATATATATATATATATATATATATATATATATATATATATATATATATGTATATATACATATATATATATATGTATATATATGTATATATATATATTTATATTATATAATATCAAACCGATGGCAAAACTCAGCTGAAATACGAGTTCTTGGAACCATGGGTAAGATAGGTGTCCGCATCGCTTGTCATGACCACTGTTTTGGATGCCCCTACCCAATGATGGATTGATAGTACATATCAAATGGGAATTTTGGTCGCACGCCGATGTGCAGACGACAGGCCGTGATCGAAACATCGGCACCAGAAGAGGTAGCAAATGTTAAATGGATCGAATACTTTGTGGAACATGTTTGTTGAAAACTAGTGAGTGACAGACACAGTAAAGGCAAAATATTTGTGAACGAGAAGTTTCTGCAATTGTGATGTGAGCATTGCAATGTGCGTATTAACGATGTAACCTTCAATATACGAAGCATCTGTATTACAGCTACTTGGATGGCGATAACTACCATGCGTATTATTCGCCAACAGCTGCCAGGTGCCGTCGACCAGTGAACCATACTAGGGCAGCAGAAGTCAACCTATCTTCTGATCACTTTATTAATCACTCATATTGATAATGGGGTATGGCATACGTGTAAATAACTTAAATTAATTTGCATAGGGAGCATTAAAGCAGCACTCGACTGAATACCACCACAATTTTTAGATGAAGGGCCAGTCTGGTTAGTGTTGTATCAAATGAAATTAAGCTTTTATTATTCAAATACCTCTTCTGGTTGGCCTTTGGGGGTTATATGTATCGATTTTTTTACCTGCTTTGCTGATGTACCACGCCTGTTATTGGTTATATGTCACTTGTCCTTGCTAAACAAATAAAACAGGCAAATTTGAAGCTTTCGTTTGCGCTTGGTTGTTTGGTTTGATTGTGCTAAGATTTGATTACTCAGACTCAAGGAAAAATATCCAGTCTTACAAATACGAAAATTTTATTACTTGATTATAATTTAAGTTCGCACAAGTCTAGCTCACAGCTCGGCTTGGTTGATCTAAAAGCTGCATCTCCAGTGCGCGCACTTGCAGTGTGTCCACCACAAGAAGAAGTGAACAACGGTGTTCGGGCCCTTCGACGAGATTCCCCTGAAGTGAGTGACGAGGTCTGAGCGAGACTATCGTTAGTGTTAGCGCGCGGGAAGCCCACTGTGACAAAAATGAATACGCGACCGAAGCAGTATCATTTTTCATGCTCTTATTTCTGTAGGGAGCGGCTGTTACGATTTTTGGTATAAGTTCAAAATTGGACTTAAAATTTTAAGCTGTCTCAAGAGTGCAAGGTCAAATATGTCTTACTCCGTTCCCTGCTGTCACGAACCACAACCTCAGAAAACTTAAATAACCATCACACAAGTATGAACTTCAAATGAAGTCGTCTGTCATTAGTGATGGAATGATCTTCAATGAGGAACAAACATGCATTTGATTCAAATTACTGGGCTTGCAAAATTTTTGCCTTTCTTTTTGCGACAGTATAAAACACTGACGGAATTTTGGTAGTACAAAATTGAATATGTATATATATATATATATATATATATATATATATATATATATACACTTATGGCCGACGACGCTATTTGAAGTTCATACTTGCGTCATGGTTGTTTAAGTTTTCTGAGATTGCGATTGCTGATGGGAGGGAATGGACGAAGACATATTTGATCCAGCGAATCCATCTAAGGACATGTTTGAGTTAGACACGCACAGGCTTGCGACAGCTATTCTTGATTTAGCACATGCTATCTTTCTTTTAGCTCCTGGTTAGCTATCCTTCGATGCAACTGATCACGTAGGATTTGGCTTTAGTGTGACGCCTTTGGGAGGGATGTGCTCCTTGGAATCACTCCCGAACACGTAGCACTTCTGGCCTAGGCCACGTCTCGGTAAGCTGACGCCGAAGTGAAAATTGTAAACATCTCCTCGGTTTGCCATTTGTTGGAGCTGCCAAGATAGTTTCATGCTTTCTCTGATGATTCTAGAGAAAGAAAACCTCGGATTTTTCTGTAAGCCCATTCACCTGAGCACACAATTCACCATCCCCTTCTAAACGGCTTCAGCATTCAGCGGTGCAAAGCGAAACCAGCTGAAAGGAAGAACTGTACCGAGGACTTGAGCTGTCAAGAGCTTTCAAGAGCTTGCAACAGGTAAGTTTTTCTAGTCATGTTACAAGCTCGTCGCATGTAAAACCTTGCTGGGGATGTCATGTCAGCGGCTGGGCCTGTCGACTTGGCGCAGGTTCATGCGTCACGCAGCGCTCGGTCAGATGGACGATATGCTCTTTGGCTCCCTCGAAGCCACACTGGTTGAGAACCGTTGGGTGTACGGGCATAGCTTAAATAGAGGCGACGAAATTACATTACTTCTTCCATCGCCGCATTCAATATGGTGTGATCAAAGCGAGGCATCGGGTCGTGGGTATGGGTATGTATGCGTCGCCGTGGACATGGGTGGATCGTCGTGGGTAAGGGGGTATGTGTGGATCGTCGTGGTTATAGGTAACGGGTATGCTGATCGCAGCATATATGATGAGGTTTCACCGGCGTGTGGATGGAGGGATGTGTACTGCCATAGTGGCCTCTCTGTGATGATCACTATGGCCTCTGCTCCCTGTAAAATGTCCCGCGAACCGCTGAGGAAGGCAATGTCAGCGGCTTACCTTCAGCAGTGAGTCTCTAGCAGATGTCGACAGTGTGTCGGAGAAACAATGTGTCGATGTAAAACACAATATAGGAAATAGTGAGGTATGATGGACACCCTACACTTTTAACGGTATATCTCAAACATGATGAGTGGTAACCACTAGATATTGTATTGTCATACACAGAGTCAACATTTTGATATGCTTGTGCAAGGGATAACTGGCTGATTTCCTATCCATGCAATACTAAAAGTTTCCCGATGGCTTGCAAAATACTGTTACCCCACCGGGTGGGGTGTCATGGATTTTCTATGGGGAAAACGGTCAACCAGTTGGGCATAACGGGCAATCACTGCACTCACTCGTGGGTGCAAAGGAAAAGGCA